ACCTTTATTGTTGTCCATCATAAGACACGGGTGCTCCAAGTCCCAAGTCCCGTATCTGCAACCCCTCTGGGCCACCAGCACTTCAAAGCTCACCCCATGAAATATCCCCAACAAGCCTTAAAAAAAATTTGATGTCTTCTTCCTAGATGCCCCTGAGGAGGCTTTACGAAGCTTGTGAGAAGTTTCCCTCTGGCCCCGTTACATTCTGGGGAAGTGAGGTTGGTCACAATGCATACAAGAAGCAAAGTGGGAGGGGACTGGAGAATAAGTTTGAAAAAAAATTGAGTGAAGCAATGAGGACATGAGTCTTTTCTAAGAATTAAAACTCAGAAAAAGAACATTCATTCAAACAGGCAGCTAGGACAGACTTTCAGTGGGTACTGACAGGAGCTGGGATGGCCCAGGCCAGGACTGTGTCCTCTCCCTCTAGAAATGGTAGCAAACCCCACTTTGCTTTGCCTCTCTTAAGAGCTAGTTGATAAAAATTATGTCTTGTGAAATCGGCAAATAGTCTGCAAAGTGAAATAAGAACAGAAATTAACAGATTAAACTGAAACGAGAAGTTGAATTCCAGAAAGGGGGAAAAAGAGAGGAAGCAGGGGAGATCCCTGGTCACAACTGTAATAATTCAAGACTGGATCCTGATCTGAGTTCCAGGCTGGGGTGGACACCTGGACGTGGGAAGACGGAGCTGTTCCCAGAGTGGCTGGCTGCCACCCAGCGTTTCTAGAAAAGGACTACTCCCCACTCTAAAAACTATGCCCTCTCTAGGAACATGACATTTATTCTCACAGAATTCTGAAGGCAGGCACAGCCAGGTGCCACTTGCTACTAGCTGTGTGACCCAGGAAGGTCCCCGCAGCCGCACGTCACATGAAGAGAATGAGGCTCCACTAAGAGCGATATCTGTGCCCCCAACCAGGTGAGATGGATGTTCGTAAGAAGGGGTGAACCCAGATGGAAAGGAGGATACTTTCTCAAGGGGATCAGATTGCATCTTCCTGAAAGGGGACCGAAGCTACCTGGTTCATGAGTGAGAACAGCCAGAATGAAGAGTTTTGGAGCTCTCTGGGACCTGGGCGTGCTTTCATTTCTTCCAGAGAGCTGTCTCGCATGGCCCTGCTAGGGGGACTCAGAAAGGGGCTGGGAGAGGTTTGGGATCCACACACAGCATAAGCGGGGGCCGGAGGTGGGAAGTGGCTAAAGTGGGCACACAGTGAGGACAATGGAAAGAAAGACCACAAAGAGAAAACATCAGGACAATTGGGAGGTGACATGACTGCTGTGAGATGTCACAAAGTCACAGGATGCCAGGGCATGGCAGGGATCCGTAGAATCTACCAGATGGGGACAAGGAGAAGGCAGAGGGCTGGGCTGCCCCATCTCTGGGTCCCCCTTCCGTACCCCAGCCGCCTCGGCCAGATCCACCAGAAACCTTCCTCATCGGCATGAGGTGACAGATGGAAGTCAGAGCATCCCAAAGCTTCCCTGACCCAGATGCCCTGGCCCTGAGGCTTTAACTCCAGCAGGCATCAAGTTTGGTTCTAGAAAGGCTGGGCTATTCCCTGCACTCTTGACTGGAACGACACATGGACCTACCTAGGCTCTATGTCTGGAAGCACGTGGCTGCCTGGGGAGGCATCTGGGATAAGCACAGACCCAACACCCCACAAGGAGCAGCCCCTTTGAGAGGGGTCAGAAGGGGAATAGACTCCGACCCCAGCGTGGCTCCTCAGATGAGTGGGGCGGGCGGCGAGCCCCAGTCATGGGGCCACCCTTCCCAGTTCATGGCCACTCTATTCTTGCCATCCCTGAGAGCAGGCAGCCTTACTCTTGTGGCCACTGGTGGCCCCTTTCTGGCCATTGTTAGGAGAATCAATAGGTTTCCATGGTGAGTGGAAAGGTGGAAAGGATGGGGAAATGAAAGTCTGATGGTTGAGAGACAACAGAGCAGCTAACTCCCAAGGGTCAGGAAGCTGCTGTCTGTCTTCTGTAATGCCCGATTTCTGCCCCATTCAAACTGAGTGGATTGTATTAAGCTGCAGGGGCTGCGGCCAGGATGAACAGATGGCCTTGGGCATAAACACTCCAACCCCACTCTATTCTCCTTCCTCCAGCCCAACCTCTCCCCCAACCCTGGTTCCTAAAGCCTTGGCTGGGCACCCAGGGGACCCTATCTTCCTCTGCCCAGCCTCATTTTGGTCAGTGCTGCATGTCTGCCTGCTAGGGCAGGCTCAGGGATGCAGGAGATGGAGGTAGAGTTCTACCAGATGTTTCCTGAGCCAGCTCATGGGGGCCCTGGGCAGGCCCTCTGATGAGACAGGGGCCTTAGCATGGGGTCCACACTGATGTCCTCCTCCAATTATTCCATGTTAAGATCCCTCAACTCTATCCTCCTGGGACTAGCATCACACTAAGGGGCAGCCTGATTCTGGAGGGAAGCGTGTTGTGCAAGCTGAGTGCATAGATCAGTGCTGTACTCACACAGACGAGAGACACGGACCTTCGTGCCTGTCAACCCCTGGAGAGGAAGCCAGGGGAGGAAGTGAGAGGAAAAGCTCCCCTAGAACCTGCCACCAGCTTCTGGGCTGAGTAGAACAGGCAGAGAATGAAGCACGGGGCACTGACCCCACGGGTCTCTCTGGGGAGGAGTGGTGCGCATGCGTGTAAGTGTGTGGACTATGCACGCCCCCCCAACAATGCTCCTCTTCCTTTATGTGTTGCAACAACACCAGCCCATAAGAACTTTCTGCGGTGGTGGAAACATTCTACATTCTGCGCTGGCAATAGCCACTTGCCACACATGGCTACTGAGTCATTGCAATGTGGCCAGTGTTTCTAAAGGAACTGAAATTTTCTTTTTACTTGTTGTTTTTTGGTAGGGGGATGGAGTCTAACTCTGTCACCCAGGCTGGAGTACAGTGGTGCGACCTCGGCTCACTGCAACCTCTGCCTCCTACGTTCAAGTGACTCTCTTGCCTCAGCTTCCTAAGTAGCTGGGATTACAGACACCCGTCACCACGCCTGGCTCATTTTTGTATTTTTAGTAGAGATGGGTTTCACCATGTTGGCCAGGCAGGTCTCGAACTCCTGACCTCAAGTGATCCTCCTGCCTCAGCCTCCCAAAGTGCTGGGATTATAGGCGTGAGCACCATGCCCAGCCAACTTTAATTTAAATATAAATTTTAGTAGCTACACGTGGCTAGTATTACTGTACCAAACAAATGTACAATAGGGAGATGGGGGAGGGTGGCAGTTAAGGCCCAGGCTGCCTGGTCCAAACGCAGGTCCTGCCCCTTGCATACTGTGACCCCTTCAGAAGGAGTTTCTACCTCTCTGTGCCTGTGCCTGGAGGGTGGGGGAGTCTACACCTGGAAACGGGAAAGTCTAATGACAGTGGCTGGTGTGCTGGCCTCTCTTGTGGCAGTCCTTCTGGTACATGTGCCCTTCTTTCCTGTGGGTCCAGGAGCCTGTGGCCATCCTGAAGCAGCCTGCTGCTGGGGGGCATAGCTGGGGATGGCTCCCTTAGTGCAGGCCAAGGCTGAGCCCTCTCCCAGATGGGGAACTGCCTCAGCCCTGGGGGACACTGGTCAGGGAGCCCCCCTGCACTCAAACTCCTCCATCTAGGACTTCTGCTACTGGGCCCGCCTTCCCCGCACCCTGTGACCCACACAATCTCGGAGAGGGGCGCAGACCCCAAAGACCATCCCTCCCAGACCCCCTTTTCCAGAAGAGAGAAGGCCTGAGAAGAGTGACCTGCCCATGGCCACTTGGCCAGTTGGTGTCAGAGCCAGGACAAGAGCTTGGGGCTTCCACCGCTGGTTGAGGGATGTGTCTGCCATAGGACACAGCTCTAAGTGCCCCCAAATGCCTCCTTACCACCCCCCACCTTTCCTGCCCAGATGCTTGGTCTGAGACAAAGACCAGGCCAAGCCCTCACTGTGCCCGCCTGTCAGCGTCAGAGTGCCATCCTCCAGCGACACGTCTTCGCTTCCTTTGCTTCTTAATTCATCTCAGACCTGACACTCGCAGGCCTCCAGGCCTAGGCATGACAACCAAGCAGGGGTGAAACTCCGCCTGCAGCCCAGCTCCCCATGAGCCAACTGCCTCAGCAGACAACCCACAGAGGACAAGACTGCCCCTAACACCTCCTCTGGAACCCCGGCTGTCCTTTGCACATGGATACCCCCAAACACCCCAATCTATTTTTCTCTGTACTCTAGGTTTGAGAAAGGCTGGGGAAAAGCACGCCCTGTGAAACACTGCTTCCTTCATTGTCCCTCCCCCATCCCTACAAGACCATGCATCCCCTTACTGTTTCTCCCAGGAGGGATCCCAGGCAGGATCCCAGGCCTGGCAGCTATCTGGAGCTGGAGTAGCCCCAGCATGTGGCGGGCATCACCGTGGGCTCTGCCTTGAGTTTTGATACCCATGCAGAGGGAAAGGAGAATCTAAACAGCCCACCCAGGATGGAAGGCAGCCCCAAACCCCCACAGCACAATATCAACACACCCCAGAAGGAAACTGAAGCCACAGCAGTTGGGACCAAGCTGGAGGAGAAATGGAGGAAAGGAAGGAAGGGTGAGGAGACATCAGACATCGTGCAGGTGGACACGGGGCGCAGGGAGGCAGGCAAGGGGGGTAGAGGGTAAAATAAAGCCCTGTGCCTAGAGTTCAGTCCCCAGTGAGAAAAAAGCAGGAAGAGGCTTCAGAAAAAGGAGGTGAGCAGAGGGAGGCCTCCTGCTTCAATTCTCCTGCTTTTCTTTTCAAAGCTGCCACTCTTAAATACCCAGCACCAGGGAAATATTATACTTGCGTTAATCAGAAACTCTGAGCTGCATCCTGGCCTTGAACTTCAGTGGATTTGAAATTCATCACATATAAGTCATTTTCAAATGAATGCATGTATGAAATGCATTCTCTTTAGGGATTCTCTCACCTCCCGCCAAATGCAGCCCACCTCTTACGCTTCCAAAGCCCTGGCAGAGTGAGCCACTTACCTGGGAACTGATAGCCATAGCTAGGAGCAAATCCGGGGTAGCCGCGGCCATAGGTTGCCACGAAGTTGGGGTATCCTTGAACACAAAGAGAAAGATCAGAGTCCTGTTAGTACGGCCGCCTCAGGTCTGGGGTAAATCTCATGGAGGGTGGCACTGGGGAAGAGCCTGAGTTATTTTCCTTCACAAAATAATTTGTCTCCCATGAGGACTTTTATCAGGACCTGGGTCACCTCTCCCCTGTGGCTGGGGGCGCCGCTGTCAGCTGTTGCTAATTAACCCACATTTGGGCGGCCAGACCCCGCAAAGCCCATGTATTTTCCTGAACCTTCAGAGTAAATGCCATGCGTCGGCACCAAACACAAGGCTTGCGCTGGGCTCTGACATTTGGAGAGCTTACCCTGCATGTACTTTACCTTAATGCTATTGACAGTAGGAGATTAAAGTCCTTGTGATGCCTCCTCCTGAGGCAGTGGACAACAGGGCCAGTACCAGACAGATCATGGGATCTCAGGAGTCACAGTTTAGTGGCCAAACTCAGGGCTCACGCTGGGTCTCTGGAAAATGCTGGGCCTGGTGAGCTATGGCCTACATCGCATGGGAGATGCCAGGATCTTTGGAGAAGGGTTAGAGGCTGGGTGTCATACCACAAAGTGTAGCTGAAAGTCAGGAGCCCCGTGCTGCGGGACTCGGGCATTTCACGGCAGATGTATTGTTTTCAGACCCTTGTCTCCAGCAGATAACCTAGCGGGTAAGAGGTTCACTGGAAGACACTTGTGGAAATTGCCACTGGATTGGCCACTGGGCTCATAGGAAACTCAGCTGGCAAGTCCAGGAGCTGGTGTGACCATCTCAGATCTGTCACTAGCCCCCAGTGATGTGGGCTGTCATTCAGCTCTCAGGGAGTCATTGCGGCTGCTCGGCCCACTTTGTTCTTCACATCCCTGCCTGATTCAGGCTACAGTGAAGGCCACATGGGTCAGGCTCACTCTGCCTCCTTCCACTCAGTATGTATTTGTAACGACAGCACATTCATGCTCTTAAGATGCTACCATGGCCACCCAATAACCACCAAGAGCATGACTTTTGCTTTGACGCTAGAGGTCGATGTCTGGGGTCATTTTTTTGGCTGCCCAGCCCGAGCCTCTCCCTGTGTGTGAGTCTTGCAGAGGGCACCCCCTCCATCACAGAAGCTGAGAAGGCCTCCCTCCTCCTCTTCCTGGGGTTGCAGCCTAGGTGGCAGCCCTCCTTGGGATCTGCCTTTGGCACTGGAAAGGCAGAGGAGGACTGACTAGTTCAGAATTCATTCTGGTGTCAGCAGCAGAACCCAGCATCCGGTGTTGGCAACAGTGGCCCCCTGACCAGGTCATTCCTGGGTTGTCCCCTTGGCTAGGGCTAGGGCTCTGACCGCCCAGCTCCCCCAGTTCCTGCCTGGTTTCTGAGTCCTGTCTTCCAGCCATCCTGTCGATTCTCCAGCACTGCCCAAGCTCCTTCTGATAATCTCCTTTGCTGCTTATAGCAGCCAGGGTTGTTTCGGTGGCTTGTTAGCAGAACACTGGCAAACAATTACTTTGATGGGTGGACTTACGACAGCCTCCAGGCTCTCCAGCAAGGACGGCGACACTTTCCACATGTGTCTCTGCCCTTCTACACAACCCCTTTAAAAACATCCCTGCACACAGTGACACTTTCCACATGTCTCTCTGCCCTTCTACACAACCCCTTTAAAAACATCCCTGCACACAGCTCTGTGGTCTCATCACCCACCGGCTCAGAGGCTTCTCACACATCACACTGACCACTTTCTGACCCTGCAAAATGAGGGCCAACGGAAGAGGGTCACTTACTAAATCCCCCCTTGCCTGCACTCGGCATCAGGAGTCATAGCTTGCTCGTCATGCTCCTGCCTACTCAGAGCTTTTGTGTCCTGGAGCTGGGCCCCACCGTCCCTCACTTCCTGGTGGATGCTCGTGCTGTAGCCTCTGTCTGGTGTCCGTGGATCTGCCATCAGACCTAGAGCAGAAACTCAGGTCTGCAGTCAGGAGACCTGGCTTCCAGTCCTGCCTCTGGCCCAGGACCATGCCCTGGGGGGTTGTTATGATTTGATGTTTGTGTTCCTCTAAATTCCTGTGTTGAAATCCTAACCCACAAGGTGATGACGTTAGGAGGTGGGGCCTTTGGGGTGTGATGAGGTCATGAGGTGGAGCCCTCATGAATATGCCCTTAACGAAGAGGCCACAGAGAGACCCTCTCCCCTTCCAACACGTGGGGACACAGTTAGAAGGTGCCAGCTATGAGGAAGTGGGCCCTTCCCTTACCACACATGGAATCAGCCAGCACCTTGATCTTTACTTCCCAGCCTCCAGAACTGTAAGAAATAAATGCTTGTTGTTTGTAAGCCACTCGTCTATGGTATTCTGTGACAGCAACCTGACTTAAGATAGGAGTCTTCCTGGCTGGGCGCGGTGGCTCACACCTGTAATCCCAACACTTGGGAGGCCGAGGTGGTGGATCACGAGGTCAGAAGATCGAGACCATCCTGACCATGGTGAAACCTCGACTCCACTAAAATACAAAAAATTAGCCGGGCATGGTGGCGTACCCCGTAGTCCCAGCTACTTGGGAGGCTGAGGCAGGGGAATCGCTTGAACCCGGGAGGCGGAGGTTGCAGTAAGCCGAGATTACACCACCGCACTCAAGCCTGGTGACAGAGCGAGACTCCATCTCAAAAAAAAAAAAAAGACAGGTGTCTTCCTTTTTCTCCTGGAGCCCAAGTCTTGTCACCTATAGAAAGCCTTGCAGGTCCTTTGCAATAGTGATATGCCCAAATTCTCAAATGAGACCAGCTGTGGCTCCACTCCCTTGCTTCCGCCAGAGCCTTCCCAAATGTGCGGTCACTGCTCACTCACTGGCCTATAGAACTGAACCTACTTCCACAGGATCTTGCCACCTGGTCCTTCCCGTGCGCTTATTTCCCAGCGCTTGGTGACTCACAGGCAGAAGTCTGCCCAAGCGAGGCAGAAGGACCCAGCAGCTGTGCACTGCCTGCGAGCTGTGCGTGCAGGAGCCAGTGGGATGTTGAGCTCAGGAACCCGAAGGGGAAAGAAGGGAGGAAGAATGGCAAAGGCCAGGGTGCGGATACTTAAGTGGACACATGCATACTGGCTCCTTCCTTTGTATTTATTTCATGGCTGGGGAGTTCAGTTCTCCTCCCATTAATCACCTGCTATCAAATCGGATTTTGTACTAGATTTCTTATACCCTTATTTCAACAATATTGATAAACAGATTATATGCAAACAGCCAAGTCATGGCTGCCTGGGGGCTTTCCTGATGAAAATGGCTCCTTTGCTTCAACCTCAGAGCTGGGGGTCTTAAATATTTTAGTGTTAATCTGACAGCAAAAGCATAAGCCCATGTGTCACTTTCCCTCAGGGAGGGTGGGAAGTGGTGGAACAGCCAGTCTCTCCCTGCACCGAGGCCACCAATACAATGCAATTAGATCTGCTCTCTTCCCGGCACCCCAACAAGGCTTCAACAAGAAAGATGAAGAGCGTGGTCAAGTTCACCCCAGGTTTGGGTCTCACCCCACTCTTCCTGGACACATCAATACTACGGTCTCCCAAACCACAAAGATGAAAATTCAGCATGTGCCAGAGCGGGGGAATCTTATCTCCACCCCCATCGCCGAACATCCTCTAGGTCAGGCAGATGAAATCATAAATTTATAATACAACATTACTTCAATTTTCCTCTTCATTTACTGCTGTGCAGCCCAGCTCTGCTCGAATGGTTCACAGCCCCAGCCACGCGGGGGAAATTGGCTGGCTGCATATCAATCGCACATTACAGCAGACCCGTGCAGACGCTCCATCAAGCCACATTACGGTGGGATGACCCAGCCACCACTTCCATTAGCAGCTGGGCCCGTCCCACACTGGCCACTGCACAATTTATTTGCTCCAATACTCTAGATGCCTGATCAATCCCACAGTAATTATCTCTTGTCACTAAAGTCAAAAACAAAACAAAAAAAACACCCAAGCCTTCTGCCAGGGTGACTACCTCTCTTGTGGATCGGTTTTCCATTGTAGAAGCAAGATACAGAAATCAACAATAGAATTTGGATTTGCCAGTGAGCTCATTTCGAGGCCCCATTTCAAGGATGCTGACAAAGTTCTCAAAACTGTGGTTCTGGTTCTAGATCTTTCCTACAACCCTAGAGATGTTTCCCTTCTAGATGGGTCCATGACTCATCCCCTCCTGGGCTCTGTTGCTCAGCTACTCAGAGTCATGGAAAATGGCTCCCACCAGGCCCCAGACGTGAAAGAGACAAGAGACAGGGCTGTTTATCCAGGGAACTGCCAGAGTGTGACACATTTGCTGCGTGATGTTTACAGCACTGCCTGGGGCACCGCGTCGGCTCCGTGAGGTCTGCAAACAGACTAAACACCAAGTGCCAAGAGTCCTTCCTAGGCAAGGGTGTGAAGGCCAGTCTACAAAGACGCTTTGCCCCACAATTGCATGGAGTTGCAGGGGCGTCTCCAGACCTGTGCTGTCCAATTTAAATTATATTTAATTAAAAGTATCTAAAATGAAAGCTTCAGTTCCTCAGTCGCAAAAGCCACAACTCAAGTGCTCAGCAGGTGCCGTGCACAGGTGGCTCGTGGCTACCACAGCAGACAGGACCTTCCCTCGCTCACAGGAAGTTCTATTGGACCGCTCTGCTTTAGAGGGACAATTAAGAGCTGAATTCCGGGTTTCCTCTGTCCACCAGGAAGTGGCTAAACAAAGGAACACTTCCTGGAGAATAACCTAAACAGGTATTTTTGGGAAAGCCAGATCTCAGTTGACATTGAGTCTATGTGCGGTTTTAAGTTCCAGCCAATCTCCAATCTTTTGATCTGTTAGTGAACACCAGCAGATTATAGCTTCCTAGTCCCTCAATGATCCTTTGTTTATTTTTTGCCTGCATTTCAGAGGGGCTTAATGTCAGGGAACACTGATTCAGGATTTCACAGCGGCTTCTCGGTACAACTCTGCCTCAGAATGCTTTTGGCTAACAAGCTTTGGCTGAT